TTATAAATAGTTGCACACAATATAAGTGCGTAAATATGTTTAATCTGTACGCGAGTTGGGACAGCTATGAGGCCGACGAAGACGTGCCCAATGATGGCGACCAATCCGTAAGATTATATTTTCAACAAACATCTATGAAAAGAGATCTAATGGTATGAAATGTATGTCAGATAACTTTGGCAGCATTTCGTCGAAATGTTGACACAAACGAATCGCTTCGAAAGATCCAGCGCTCGCTGTCTCACAACTCTTGTAAAGATGTAAATGAGACGAAAGGAGACGATGTGGAGGCCAGTCATGAGATCCAACGGCAAGACATACCGGCCGTTGAGATAACCAATGCGTTCTACAGTTACGGCAAAAAGAAGAAAGTTGTGAACGCTTTGCAAGGAATCAATTTGACGGTTCCCGAGGGCGCGATGTCTGTCCATTCAAACACACTTTCTTTGCTATAGTTTTACTTAAATTTCTTTACCTTTTAGTTATGGACTCTTAGGCCCGAGTGGTTGTGGAAAGACATCTCTACTCCGATGTATTGTCGGACGCCTTCACCCAAAGGAAGGAACGGTTAAAATATTCGGCAAAACTCCCGGTGAGGCCGGCAGTCAAGTTCCCGGTCCTTCTATTGGATATATGCCTCAAGAGTTGGCACTCTTTCCTGATTTCACTCTCGAAGAGACACTCAATTATTTCGGTCGACTCTATCACTTAAAGGAGAGTCTGATCGTCGAGAGAACTGATTTCCTGTTGAAATTCTTGGACCTCCCGGAAAAGGGACGTCTCGTCGGCAATTTAAGTGGAGGACAAAAACGCAGAGTTTCTTTGGCGGCAGCGCTCGTCCACAACCCACCGCTTCTCATATTGGATGGTATTTTCGTTTCACTTTACTATCATTTTGAGATAATTAACAAAATTATCTTTAATAGAGCCCACTGTTGGTGTCGACCCATTGCTCAGGCAATGTATTTGGGATTATTTAGTGACTCTTAGTAAGGAGGAGAAGCTGACAGTCATTATAACGACTCACTATATCGAGGAGGCCAGGGCTGCCAACTTAGTCGGTCTCATGAGATTTGGACGCATTCTCACCGAACAAACTCCCGATTATTTGCTCAAAAGATATGGTTTTCCAACTCTGGAAGAAGTTTTCCTAAAAGTATGTGAACTCGACTCTCAAGGAATAGATGTAAATAATTTGCATAAAGAGGCCCTCCGTTCCAACTCGATTGCCAACTCGATTTTGGCCAATAAACCCGATATTTGTTTCGATGTCAACAAATCGGAGTCAAAAGATCCTGATATGAACTCAAGCATTAGTAGCGGCAGCAGTAGTAGTGGTGTCGGAGATTGTGTCGATACACTCAAGAATATAAACGCAATTCCAGAATCCAAGGATATCATGGAAATGGTTGAACCAATCAGTGAACCACCAAAGAAGACATATAATAGAAGTGGCAATAAGTTTAAGCTCTCGAGTAATCCGCTGATGAATAGCGCCGCTCGGACTTCAGCCCTCTTCTGGAAGAACATCACTCGATTGCGACGAAATATGGCTGTCCTCCTCTTCCAGTTCCTGTTGCCCTCCATCGAAGTGATCCTCTTCTGCACGTGTATCGGTCAGCACCCCTTCGACATACCGGTGGCCGTCTATAATCAGGAAATCTCTGGTCAATTCAGTCAACAATTTTTGAGTCACATCGACAACACTACTATTATTCAAAAGCCGTTCCCATCGTATGATTCAGCCATCGAAGCCGTGAAGAACGGGGAGGCCTGGGCTGCCCTCGTCATCGGCAGGAACTTCACGAATGCTTTGCAAATGAGGTATTTAATGGCATTTCGTTGAAATATAGTGTTTCTTATTTGATTGTTTGTGTAGAGTTTTGATGGCTGGAGATGTGGACAATGAGACACTGGAAATGAGTTCCGTTCACTTATATCCGGATATGACAAGTAAATGACTGCTTATACTTTTAAATTCAGTTTTTTATTAAATTGAATTTATTTTTCAGACCAAATGATTTCCCTTAAACTATATGAGACGATCACTCTGTCGTTTATTAGCTTTGGGAAGGATATGCTGACCACTTTGGGTCAAAGTTCATCACTTATTGAGTTGCCTGTTGTTGTAAGTGTTGTCTTAATTTGATTTTATTTATTTTCAACTAATAATTGTCCTTCAATTTAAAGCTGGAAAAACCTATATATGGCGAGAGATTGCCGACATTCACAGAATTTATGGCACCGGGAGTTGTGCTGAGTATTGCATTCTTGGCGGCCGTGGCGTTGACTGCTTTGGCGTTCGTTATGGAACGCAAAGAAGGACTCCTCGAGAGAAGTCTTGTGGCAGGTATTGATCACTACATGATTAGTCACTATATGTCGGTCTAATTTCTGGACATTCATTAGGCGTGAGTTCGACTGAGTTTATGCTGTCGCACGTATTGACCCAACTCCTGGTGCTATCAGTTCAGGTGGCTTTGCTGCTAATCTTTACATTCCTGGTCTTCGAGATCCCATTCCGGGGACAGTTTATATGGGTTATTGTGCTGACACTACTCCAGGGGTCGTGTGGAATGGCTTTCGGTCTAATGATATCTGCAATTTGTGAAGAGGAGAACTCTGCGACAATGTTGGCTTTGGGCTCATTCTACCCCAATCTGCTACTTGTAATTAAATTTTTGATACTAGCAACTTTTTTCATATTAGAAACACTCGTGTAATCATTTCCCCTCATATAGAGCGGTACCGTTTGGCCGACACAAGCAATGCCTCAATTTATTCGATACTTCAGTTATGTTTTGCCGCAAACTATTCCCATAGGTTTGTCATAACTTGTCTTTTGTTAAAAAGTATTTAATTGTAATGAATGTCTGCAAACAGAGGCCATGCGTTATATATTATCGCGCGGATGGGACCTCTCGTACGGAATCGTTGCGCTGGGCTTTGGAGTGACCATCGCTTGGATTATATTCTTCCTGAGCGCAGCCGTCATTATTTTCAAATATAAAAAATAGATTTAATTTGATTTATTAGAGTTTTTTATATAAATATTACTCTCCACTGTATATCTCATTTTAATAACTTAGCTTTTAATTTTTTACATTTTAAATCTCATTTCAATTTTAAGATTCTTTATACGAGTACTCAAAAGTTTTGAATAAAAGTTTCAGTATTTAGTTGTAAAAGTGATTAGTGTCTCACAAATGAATGTTTCACACGAAGTGCTGCTGTTTTGCCAACCGTTTCAGTCTTTGATTCATAAATTTGGGAGTAATTTGTCTGCAATGAAGACTACAATTGAAGTCTTAACGCAATGAATGTGAGAAACATTTGTGAATGAAGTAAGCGATGCATTCATTAAGTCATTGAATGCAATGCAACCCAATCTATACATTGAATGGTTTGGTTAACAACGCTATCGTAGAGTAGAGTTAGTCTCTCATCACAACAGCACTCGTATCCAATACAATGAACTCATAGCCAATGGAAGTTTGCAACGCTTCCAGAAGTAGGTGTAACTCCACTCAACCACCTTTTCAGGTATTATGGCATCACTTCACTCATACAGTGAAGGACTGAAGGGCGTCGTCCACTCATACCCTACCATATCATCCAACATATGAACCATTTGTATAATTGTCTCACTTGTGGACCATTTCACTGATTCTTTCACTTTTCAAACTTTTTGACAACTTTTCTAAATACAGTGAAAGTTATATATATTTCAATCGATAAGCCATTGGATGAGTATTGAGTTGTCGGTGGCATACAGTGAATCGGTTGTGACGCGTGTGCCATCATTACCATCATAAGCATCCCTACCATCACTACAATCAGTGAAAGATGTTGCGAAACGCGGACATCTCGTACTCAAGTATAGCCCCAACCACTGGACGTACTGATAGCTGTTTGTGTTGCTTTTGCACCTGTCATTGCACGCAATGCAAGTGTAAGTCACTGCGCCACTGTCCTCCCTGTCCTCCCTGTCCACACTGTCCTCTATGTCACTCTCATCTGTACCTCACGAACCTATTTGCCGTTTGACTGTCATTTGGTGAACCAATTACATGTCATTTATTTGTAACTTATGTATCAATTGAATGCTATTTTGTGGACAAATTCATTGATAGCTTGTCTGCCATTTGATGTGTAGTACACTTGCCGTGCGATTTGCAAATGCAGTCAAATATTCATGTAATGACAATATGTCTGAATCCATGCTTATAATGGTATGCATTGATAGCCTGTTGCAGATCATGTTTCCTTCGGCTCCCTTACGGCACGATTACATCGACTTTGTTGGCGGCCTTTGGACTCATAATGAGTATCGTCTCTATCCTCCACTCGACGAGTATTGCCGATCGACTCACTCATGATCTCATCCGAAGAAAATACTACTGGTTTGCAGTCATTTCACTAATGCTTGAAAAGTTTGCTTGAACTTAATTTGTGAACCATTTGTTGACCAATAGGTTGAGTGACTTGAAGGTGTGGTACGTTGTGTTCACGGTCTTCGTGTCGGTTATTATTGTGATCAATCTGTTCATCGGATTCGCAACCACTGGAACGGCTGGCACTAAGAAAGGGAAGCCGTGTCGGACGTGTGGGTGCACCCGGGCGTCCACCACTTCGTGTCTCATAAAGACTGTATTTGTGGTCAATTATATTCTCTTCTATTTTCTGGTTTTGTTAACAATAATCGTTTTGTTAACTCTATTCGTATGCTATGTATTGAGTGATCTCTGCAACGAAGGCATTGATCTAATAGTGGAGCCCTTGAATGTTATCAATCCCTTTCCCCACGACACCAGAGCCGGACAGTCGTCTCAATATCTAGATTTGAGACAATTCTCGCCATTGCTTTCGTTGCGATCAAATGAGACACAGTATATGTATTTCAAAGACAATCGCCTTAAGAAACTTTGCGATGACTACGTGTCCGCCCTTTACTTCCATATCATACTCTGTTCAATAGGAATGGTATCCCTTTGTGCGGCTTTTCTAAACTTTTTGATTAATTTAAGCGTTAATTGGGTTAGAATTAGTGCGAAACAAAAGTATGCGGAGATTCTGTACTTGAATGGCGCGGAGATGACTGCTTTCAATGAGGGCAGCAGTCGCTACTGACCGCACCGGTAGTACACCGCTCAACATGTCATGACTAACTGTCTTAAAGATATTGACAGATATGACAAACATTTGGTTTATTTTCACAATTTACTTGTATTTATAATCTCTGCATTTAAATCACAAAGTTTTTTGTTTACGAGTAAGTAAACAAAGTACAGAATATGTAAGTTACGTTATTAATAACATAATTGAAAACCTTTCATAACATTATAAATAAATTTAGAATTTTTCAAATACTTGTTCATAAAATTCTTTTATTTTTATATGAAAAAGTACTTTAACAACAAATGTAACATTAATATTAATATATTTATGAGATATTTATACACTTTTTGACATTAACTCAATAAAATGGTTTTCATTAATTCATTCATGTTTATGATAATTAAGAAGTGAACTCAAAGTCCTTCAAAAGATTCAGTGCTAAGAAATGTAATTATTTCAAAGATTGAATATATTTAAATAATTAGATAAAATCTAATTACCTGTGGTTAACGATTTCATAAAAACTAATCAAAGAGTAAGTTGCAAACAAACATATTTTTATACAGTATAACGAATAAACTATACATTTTTGTATTTATTTAATGATAAAATGAATTCTTTTAAAAATTCTGCCAAAATCTTTGCTTTAAATTCGTTTAAATTATGTGTAT